AAAAACTGAAAACAAGCATCTGCATGGGTGTGTCCAGGAAAAGTATCAAGCTAGAAAGACAGAAAAGATGTGGAAAAGATTAACTCCAACCCAAAGGAAAGCACCTCAGCAGTAGTCTTTACATCAGGGTGTCCAACCTTAGCAACTTTAAGTCCTGTGGTCTTCAACTCCCAGAATGGCTGGCTAGGGAATTCTGGGAGTTGGAAGTCCACAAGTCTTAAAGTTGCCAAGATTAGACATCATCCCTCCTTTAGATAGCAAGAGAAACTTCTCTGAGCTGCAAGACACTGAGAGGCAGAACTGAGATATGAGGGAGAGAAAAGTTTATCTAGATCAGGGGTAGACAACCTTGGCTCTTTTATGACTCGTGGACTTCAACTCCCAGAATTCCTGAGCCAGCTATGCTGGCTCAGGAATTCTGGGAGTTGAAGTCCACGAGTCATAAAAGAGCCAAGGTTGCCTACCCCTGATCTAGAGTCTAAAAACCCCAAGCAAGCCTAAAACCAAACCATACCCATTGCTTGCAACCACCCAGGTGCAGAGCCCTACCAACCAGCGCCACAAACTGTGAATGCTGTGGGAGAGAAAAGCCCATTGGCAAGCCTATAAAGGAGTGAAAAGGGTTTTCAGATGCAAATGGACTGAGATTGACTACAAGAGTTAAGGAGCTGGGAGGGAAAGGATGATTTAAAAGAAGTAGTAGTTAAGATAAGAAAACATAGTGCTACCATAGGAATAGAAAAGAATGTAGAAATATATGGATTAAATAATCCTAGAAATAGAATGGTATTACACTTACATTAATGCAAAGAGTGGAATAAATTATGGGTTTAGTTTTGTACAATAAAACAGTTTTGTGTAGAAAAAAACAGATTCAGTCTTTGTGTCTATGTTCTGTACCATATTGTGACAAAAACGATAACACTGACTATATTTTAGCATCCTACTAGAAGCACATTCCCTATTTCTTTTTCTTTCTTAGTTGGATTGGGTTTAGTAAGTTTCCTGTGCCAATCCACATTGTCTGCAGAAGAATAGGCCGTGACCCTATATTTATGATCAGTTGGACAGAATGAATGTTGTGCTCATCCATCCAGCCTTTTTAGCATTGAAAGCTCCTGTATGACCTGATGAAATTTCAGTGAGTCCTTGAAGTACATGAAACCTCCAGGGATTAGAAGGACTTATTTCATTGTAGTACAGATAAAAGAGATGAAGCTTTACCACCCGTATCAAAATATAGGCAGAAATTCAGTTGCTTTTGGGTGAGGACCTGTGGCAGATTAGGTGTCTCTGTGAATGACTCTGTAGTTTGGACAGCACTGTGATGAAATCCGGCAGCCAGCAGACAAATTCTGGCTGGTGAAAATCTCACTGGAGAAATGGGAGATTGGGGGAATCTCCCCCACTTGCACTCTGGATAACCTGACCTTTGCAAGGATACTACAGGAATTGAAGTTTTTGTGGTTGATTGGGAGTTGAGTGGCTGGGGGGGTGGGTTGAGGGAATGTCAACGCACCCATATCTGCTGTGCACTTTTTATCGACATATGACCAGCAAATACCTCACTTTCATAAACAACTTTGGATAAAATTAATTAATTTTAGAATTAAGAAGGCTAAAAAGAGTTTAAATTAAATTCTTAAAAGAATTTAAAAAGAAAAAGCAGAACAAGATCAGGATTCAAGGATGTTTTAAATGGATAAAGGGCACAGTAATTTTAGAAAATAAAACCATTTTTTTTCCTGACAAAAGTGCCTTTGAAAACACTAAAATTAATTAGACAGACTGGAATGCTGATTGTTTACTATTAAACAAGGTATATAATTGGTACAAAATAAGAAGATAAGGGTAATTTGAGCCAGACTGTGTGATTTTAACTGCGGAGCGCTAGCTGGGATTAAATATTAAAGGCAGAAAAACACAAAACAAAAAAGAAGGAGCCTGTTTTTTTTACTTTCACCCTAGTACAGGGGTAGGCTGGCTCGGGAATTCTGGGAGTTGAAGTCCACGAGTCATAAAAGAGCCAAGGTTGCCTACCCCTGCCCTAGTACTTCATATATGTTCACTTTATCATAATGGCAACAAGAAAAAGAGAAAAAATGGGAAAAGGAAGAGAGAACAAATTACAGATAAGGGCATTTCACCACATTTATTGCAGAAATTGTTTGAGGAAATGATAAAAAGCTGATTACAACTGTTGCCAATAGTTTGAATGTTTTTAAAAAGAAAATGGAAAAAGGATGTATAGGAATTAAAAAAAAGGATACAAAAGAAGAACTTGTTTCTTTTAAAACTGAAGGACAAACAGGAAAAAAAAGCCATGGAAGACTAATTCAGTATAAGATTACTGCTGCAACATGTGCAAAGATGGGAAGATTCAGCATTATCCACCATGGAAAAATGGTTTGGTGAAATTGACAGAATTTGTTGAGATGGACAAACTGACTTCTTTGATTAGAGAAAAGACAATATCTACAGTTTCCACTGGTGACCAGAAACCTCTTATGAACCTTTTGCATAAAAATGAAAAAAAATAACACGTGATTTATGGTTTTCATGATTCAAGAGTATAGATTATAGAAAGAAGGCAATCATGATGTAACTTTAGAGAAAGAGGTTAAAGTATAATTGTACTTATCAACTGCTATGAAGGATATCAGAACCTACTTTTTTATACTTCTTTCTACCTTTCTTTATATCTTTCTCTTTTTTCTATTTTCTTTTCCTTTTTTCATACTGCACTTTTAGCATATTCTTTCTTTTTCTCTGTTTTATTTTACTTTGTATTCTTATTATTGTTCTTAATTTTTTCGTCAAAATTACATTAAAAATAGTACACAGGCAGATACTCTTTATATGGTCTCTGCTATGTATTCAAGATGGACAGTGATTAATATTTATATGTATTTATGTGTAAGGGTGTAGGTATATACATATGGTGTATATAACATGTTTATATGTGTGTTGTGTATGTGTATACCTTTGAGAGCAAGCAACAGAATTCCATTTTTAATGTGTGCCAGTGTGCCCTCAGTAAAAAATGACAATAAAGGTTATCTTATTCTTATTATTATTCTTAGATGTTTCTAAACCTAGGAAATTGTGTGGGGTTATATCTGCATGACATCTCATCAAAAAGAGTATCCTGCAGTCTTGTTTTCAGTTCTTGGGCAGTTAAGCAAGCTCATATTTTTTTCAGGCAATGATTCCTGGAGGGTAAATTGTTAAAAGGAAACTAGTCATTCCATTTCCTGCTTGGTTGTTTTCTAGTCCAAATAATCTGCCAGTTAGGCTGGCATTTTCCCCCTTTGCTTCTAACCAACTTCTTTTCCTTCTTCCGCAGGTAAAACAATGAGGCAATAGAGATGCTTCCCTTTGTGATCGTCACCCTGGGCTCTGCAGGGACTACCTGCAGGTCCTCCAGCTGCAACAACAGCAGCACCAAGGATTACTGCTACAGTGCGCGCATCCGCAGTACTGTACTGCAGGGATTGCCCTTCGGAGGGGTGCCTACTGTCCTCGCCCTCGATTTCATGTGCTTTCTTGTAAGTGGCTGTTGTCCTCTACCTTGTTGGCAAAGGTGCTCATCCCATGCACAGGCAGCTCAAAGCACACAATCTCTGCAACACCTCATACACAGGCGGCACATTGGTTTAACAAGAGCTTCTTATCTAGGATCTTTTGCATGCTCGTTCTGTTATTCCGCTGCAATTTGGCACCCATTGCAAGGTGCCGGCCTGCTTTGCCTGGGTAATCAGACAAAGGTCTTTTGTGGGCCAAAAGAGGGGCAGCAACTCATGTGTAATGTAAGAGCACATTGTCAGGATTGCTAGAAGCTCTCAAGGATCTAAGATAATGTAAATAATTTATTGACATATATTCCGTCCACTTAAATAGTTCTGCCTCATTCCCAATAGCAATTTATTCCAGCATTTAGTATCCATCACAGAAAAAGGCAGACTTTGTTAATGTTAAATGTATTTGTAGTGAGACCTGAATAAGGATCTAAGAATGTGGGATTGGCTATGCAACAGGTGGGAACCTGCAGGTAATTTGAGCCTAAGTCATGTAAGGCTTTATACTCAACTCAGTCCCTTGAATTGGCAAACTTTGTAGCTATTTCAAAACAGATGAGGGGAATGATGATTGAACTAGAATCCTTATCAGAATGTGGTGGCTTGTACCTCTAGAATGTGCCACCCAGCATCCATGCTGCTGCATTCTGATAAAGGTTTCTAATTATGATTGATTCCCCTGATTTTGCCAGCCTAGACAATCCTAACTCGTAGTGGTTCATCTTTCAAAAAGTATCTGGTTAAGGTTCTTTCCAGCTCTGCCACTTGAAGTTCATCGTTGGCGACAGAAGTAACTGATCTGAAGCCCTAGATTTCTGGAGGACCAGAGGGGTGATGGTGTAAGGCATCCTTTGCATCTACCTCCTCAGATCTTACTTTGTTTTAAAGCATTCTGAAAAATTGTTTTAAAAAAGAATCTGGGCTGTCTCATATACACTGAAAGTAGGTTAAATCTAAGTTTATATGCACTGCCAAAGGAATAGGGAACCTATGGTCATTCAGATGTGGCTGAACCATGGCCTCCAGCTGCCCACATGCTGGTTGAAGCTGCCCAGAATTGTACTTCAGCAAAATCTGGAAAGCTGCAAAGTCGAGTCCTATCCTACATCCATGGGAGAAGGTTCCATTATTGAAAACTGTGGAGGGGAATATGATGTCACATCAGGCATCATAATTCTGCTTTCTGAGTACCAGAAATAGTTGCAGAGGTGGGACATTTATAAGTCTTAATCTGCAAACACAAGGTCTGAAATCCTTGAAGTTACCTGAAAAAATCTTTTCCTTGCTGCCAATGGTTGAAGCGCCGACCAAGTAGAATAAAAAAAATATTGGTCTATATCCTTTAATAGAGTCTGCAGTTAGCAGGCCAGATGTATGTACATGTTGTCTTTAATGCAATCTGTGTAAGCCTCTTTTGAGGTATGACTTAGCAAATTTGGCTTTTCCAATGAAGAGGTTCTGTGTTTTGATATGGAGCAATTTATTTGTTTATTTTTTGCAGAGTATTTTTGGATTCAGAATCGGGGTAGCATTAGAGGCTGAGCAAGGGACACTGCCAAACGATCATTTTTTTTGCCTTACCTTTCCTTATTTGCCTTTCTACAGGCACTGCTGTTTGTTTTTTCCATTTTGCGCAAAGTGGCCTGGGATTATGGACGTCTGGCATTGGTAACTGATGCTGACAGGCAAGTAAAAAAAAATATATTTTTTTTAAAAAACTAAGAAATGAAGAAACCTCTTCTTGGATCAAATAACAGCTGGACTGAAGTTAGGAGGAATTTCTGAAGCAGACATTCTTGCTAGCCAGCAGTTCAAGAATTTGCTGTTCAAACAGCTACTTAGCTACCCCAAAGACTTGCACATGCAAATGGCTTGATGCTTTTGTTTTAAAGAGTTCTGGTTCATATCACAAAGTTGGAAAATGCTTCATAATTTAAAAAGGAAAAAAGAAGGAAAAAACATGCCCTTGAAATTAGCATCTCCTAAGAAACCCCTGCTCAATTTTCTAAATCACAGTTGGTATCTCAAGCCATGGTTGTTGTAAAAAAAAATAAGTCTATGGTGTAGTAGGAAGTCCAGCCTGATCTGTCCTCTTAAAGACCAAATTGAAGAGACACAGCCTGTACTTTCTCCAAAGTCTTGAATGGCCTTACTAGTAGAAACTGCTGGATTGTAATTTTTAATGGGAAACTGGAAAATGTTAAACATAAAGGGAGTCATTATATCCACTGTATTTAATTTTAGTCAGAAATGAAGATCCTTTTGAGTTGAACTTAACCTTTGTCAATTACATGGACATGTCCATGTAAGGTTTTTGGGAGCGGTTCAGATGTGTTTGCCATTTCCGTAATCTAGGATTCTTTTTAAATTTCTTGATCTTCATTTATATATCTACTTCCTTGAATTCTAGTCTACTGTCCTAAAGCAGATTCTCAAGAAGAGCATCCTGTTCTGTCATATTTATCCCAGGCCCCTTCTTGTATTGGATTGTACTGCGTTGTATCATATTTCATTGCATTCTCTATTATACCTTATGCTGTTTTTCTGCCAATAAAATTAAGGATGAAAAAAAAAACTGTACTGAATGATTTGCATCATCATCATAGGGTGAGGGAGGTGTTATTAAAAACAGTTCTTAAATCTAATTTAACAAGAGAAACTTAAAGTCTTAGTAACTCAAAACATTTCAGTGATTGGCAATCAAGGTCATAGCAGGAATAGTTTTATGTTTGGGCTTAACCACCGATAAAGTCCTTCTCCATATCATTTTTTACCAAATGAAACTTCAAGGTCAGTGGGATTTGTCATTCAAAGTCCTGGTTATTCACAATTCCAGAGAGGGAGAGAGAAGTTGCTTACAAATTGTATGCGCAATATAGAAAAAATGTTATTATGCAATGCTGCTTCTCCCAGCGCTGCTTTAGAGCTTGGCACACCATCGCCTAGCTCCTCCCTCTTCCCCAAAGCAAAAAAGTGTCTTCACTAATCTGCTTTCCAGCTCTGGTGTATTTCTCTCCTGCTGCAGGGAAACGGTGTCTGTGAGACTAAAAAAAGTTCAGTCAGACCTTCCAACTTCGCAAGATCTTTTTTAGGCAGGTGATCTGTGGGACGGAGCGTGAAGAAAGCCCCTACAATGGCACACAGCCTCAGTGGAGCCTTTTGCCATCACTCCCCCCCGGCTCCAAAACGGTGGAGGGGGACCAGGTCTACCCCGCCCACCCTCCATATGGTAGCATGGCAGTTCGGCTAGGGAGGGGAGTGAACGGGAGCAAGGAATGGCCTGGCTAGGGGGGGGGCTGAAGGAAGCGGGTGCGGGGCACGTGAGGCAGCTCCACCCCTTCCCCCACCTTACTCACCTTGTTGTGACGGCAGTGGCACAATCTGCCACGCGGCCTCCTGCCGCAAGCGGCCGCAGCAGAAGTGGGCTAGCAGCCATGCAGGCTCCTGCTGTATGGGGCTGTTGGTGCTGTTGCCGTGAGGCGAGGCAGGTGTCACGGAAAATATAAGACACCGCCCAAAAGTAAGACCTAATGCCTGTTTTGGAGGCAAAAATAATAGAAGATCAGGTCTTACTTTCGGGAAAACACGGTATGTATATATATGTAGTTCTGGAAGAGAGAATTTTAAAGAGTTTTTAAAAAAGAAAAAAATCCCGCCCCAGCAAATGAATGTGAAGAAACACCGTTTTGTGTATATAAACTTTATTTTCTCCTGGGATGACAATATTTCTAAAGGGGAGACTCAAGAATATCACCTAGTTTGTTTCTGCATTTATAATTTTCATTTGCAGCTGTTAAATGCATCTTGGGATTATGCCCAGTGTTTCTGCAGAATCTTTTTTTTTTTTTTTAATTTCTCTGGCCTGATGTTTGTGCAACCACATTTATTTAACATTTGAAATTTGGGGAAGCAAATGATAGGAAAGCAGGAGGAAAAAAAACAAGAAAAATGTTCAGAAAGTCAGTCACTGTCCAGGAACAACTCTGTCTGTTGCACAGTGAGTGAGCTTTAGCCAAGTTTATTTGTTCTTTTCTGATCAGATTTGGTGAAATGTTTCTTTCCTAGGACTTGTGAAGTGTCAGCCAGAGGGAAGGAGGATCCTAACTCTTTACTCAGACGGTAACCTGTTGGTAACTCTCTCTCTTTTAATTTTAATTATTTTTCTTCTGTTCTCAGGAAGCGACGCTGGCAACAGGAGCAAGAGGAAAGGGAATAGTACGTTGTGGGTTTTTCCACATGTTTAATTCTCATTTCTGCCACTGCTTTTACCATTTTCTCCTTTTGCTTTGGGACTAATCTTTTTGGAAACAAGGGCTTGATTTCTTTTATTTTGGCGTCCACATTGAACACTGCACACTTAACTCTCCCATACTCTTTGTACTTCATGAGCCTTTCCTGACCCTGGTGCACACCAGAAGTTACACATCAGAGATTATGCTGACTATGGATTAGGATGGGAGTTGTAGTCCCTAACATCCAGAAAGCACCAGATTGACATGCACTGCATGGAAGCTAATGATGTGAACAAGAACTGGAGGAGAGAAATAATGAAGAAGATTATCATGGATAGCTATGTTATCACTGAAACAATTTAAACAAATTAAACATTGTTACTAATTTAGAAATTTAGAGAGTAGATAGATATAGGAAGTATTTTAGTTAATCTTGGCAGGATAAACTGTGATGGAGAAGGTCTTATTATTTGTTTATTGCCTTTTCTAAATTTGGTGACAGAATAATCCACAGAGTACTAATGGATTATCTGAATTATCTATGTTTTACTTGTAAAAATTATCTGCCCTTGCACCATTTATAAGAGAGTTCAGAAGAAAATAGAACATGTGCATAAATTATGCAGTTCAACAAGCAGAGACATCAGCTACCTTACATTATTTTAAATGGGCATTAGATAAATTCAAGGAAGATAAAGCTATTAATGGCTATGTATTATCTCCAGTAAGGACTATCTGGGTCTTTGATCTCATCCAGCATAGTTCTGATTCTGTTCCTTTTGACCTTTGCATGCATTTTAAATATAATGATATTAAAAAGCATTACTTAGTAGTATAGCTTTTGGTTTTGCTAGGATTCCACTGAACTCTGCATTATTACGCTGGATTCGGATAAGAAACACACACAAAAAATCACTCACTAAATCTTGTATTTGTGCACATGTATATAGATATAGTATGTATGTACAAGTAATCCTCAACTTACGACCACAATTGAATCCAAAATTTCTACTGCTAAGCAAGACAGTTGTTAAGTGAGTTTTGCCCCATTTTACAACCTTTCTTGCTGCGGTTGTTAAGTGAATCACTGCAATTCATAAGTTAGTAACACGGTTGTTAAGTGAATCTGGCTTCCCCATTGACTTTGCTTGTCAGAAGGTTGCAAAAGGTGATCACATGACTCCAGAACACATCATAAATACATGCCAGCTGCCAAGCATCCAAATTTTGATCACATGACCACGTGCTACAACAGTCATAAGAGTCATAAGTCACTTTTTTCAGTGGCATTGTAACTGTAAACAGTTACGAAATGAATGGTTGTAAGTGGAGGGAGGAAGGAAGGAAGGAAGGGAAGGAAGGAAGGAGACCTATGATGAGTAAAATTATTCTCTTAGATTCAAACAATCTTGTATGCTGATTTCTATATCTGCTAGAGCAGGGATGTCAAACTGGCCCGTAGGCCAGAGACGTCACGAGGAAACCGGGCCCACCCCATTGCCGGCAATGGGGAAAAAGCTCTGATACGTCGC